TTCTCATTCAAGTCACCACTCAACCACACCGACCACGAAACTGCCAGAACAACAAGGCAACAGCAGTCTCAGATTGTGAGTTCGAGTTCACACAAATCCACCGTGCTTGGAAGTATTCCTTGGATATGAGGTCCACATCAAAGTCGAATTTCGATACTGTTCTCGCAGTCATGATATGAGATGAGGTGGCCCGACTGGAGATAACAGACACCACGATAAGCCAACAAGGTTTCGCTCTGCTTATGAACTAATCTCGGTGTTTTTTAGTAAGGATATATTTAGAGGCATTTTGTGCGAAAAATGAACGGACGACTTAGCGAAATCGAACACTACTGGAATAGTTACCAGCTGGCAACAATATGCGATTATCGCGATTGTCACACCTCAAGTCATCCACATCTTTGCATGTTACCATACCTATAAGCCCACCTCAGTAACAACCGGGTCATGTTCACATTGTGCACACTTTAATCTCCACGACGCTTCACCATATCACTCCGTGTTGTTCAGATGGCAAGACAGTCTACTCGAGTAATGTTCGCTATTTCACAACCACACACTGCTCAGCGCTGTTTTCATGGGCCAGACGCTTTGCTATCTGGACAGTGTCCTGATAGTGGATGTCGATAGATACCTAAACGCTCAACTGCCTTGCCTACCGTCTACGAAATTGTGCACACAAGGGAAGACATATTCCCAGACACTTTGGAGACGATGGATGTGTGTGGCAATGACCTTAGATCTTATTCTCAGGATGTGGATTTCATAAATCGATCCAACTTTGCCCATTCTCTCCACTACACAGGTTGTCTCGCCATAACCACTAGGCATGATCTATTTGACTCCCTCGACTGAAGAGGCCTTCCTCGAGTCTAATCGTCGTCGTCCAAATTCTGTTTTTAGTGTGAACTGCACTTCAGGCATGTCACCAATCACATCCCACAAACCCTGAAATGTCTCCACACAGACCCTGAGGGGAGTGAACTTGTCTAGGCGACTCCGATGCACAGTGTGACCCTCATCACACAGTCAAATAAATGGAATTGAGATGGTGAATGAAAATTGCATGTTAATAAGCATGAACCTGGCTTCACTTGCGTCTGAACCGACAACATGATGGGCAAGAGTGTACGACGAGCTTACATCTTGTCAGAGATGTAGGCTCGTCATCTCGTATGGGCCAGCTGCCGCTTAATCCCTAATTTATCGAGCTGTCATTTACAAACATTCGCAAATAATCTACTTTAAGAGCAGAAAATTACTCCGCTTTCTTTAATTTTCCTTGGTATTTAAGGCAGGTTTGGCACTTGGTTCACCCGCGACATTGCCTCGGAGGCGGGTTGCTGTGTCATGCGGTATGCAGGGTTGAGGATGTCGGTTGCCATGGAATTGCACTGTCCAATGTGACCAGTGGCGAGAGTCGCTGTCTCTGAGGCCAGCAAATTTGCCACACGGGAGTGTGCACTGATTGGCAGTGCTCTCAACCAATCAGTGAGCTGCCGTTCACGCGTGTGATTGTTTTCGCCAATTAGCAGTTTGATAAGCTTGTGCCGTGATTCCAATTAACGCGCGAGATCTTATTTCGATAGCAATTAGTAATGGACAACTCTTGAGATGAATCATTCTGGCTGTTTACTTCTTGAGGAATGAGTTAATGTCCGAAAGATGTGGGCGGTCAACTTGAATTTCAATCAGGTTTCACACGTTCATAATTCCGGGTAGGTCACACACTTCCTTCCATCACAGTTCTTGCATACTTGGATTCAGTAGTCACTTCATATGTGAAGGAATGACTCTCCGACTCAAAATAAACCAACCATTTCCCTTTCTAGTTCATTATTCATCAGATTCATCTCAACTGCACTTGTTGAAACTCATGTATTCCTCTGTTCCACATTGATACTGGTAATATGGAACACGTTGGCGTAAAATGCAAGATCAGAGATTTGGGACAGAGCAACTGAGGGAAGGAGCTAACAGGCGGAACTCATGTCTCGTAGGGTCTCCATAATATGGGACTTTTGGTGGGCCGAATTGGGAGGCTGAGATCCAACAGATGGTCAACACTTTTTCGGGAATCATGGTATCAGTGGATCGTTAATTGTTGCAGCATCCCATTCTCTCGAGGTACTCCACTTTAGATGACTCAATCACAAGTTCGCGAGTCCTTCTAATAAGCACGCTTGATGATTTGATCGGTGTCGATGGAGGCGTGTTCTCCTTGCCTCTGACCACTGCTGGGTCCTTTCTCACCTCTTAGACATGTCTTAATTTCACGCATTTCACGTATCAAGTATCCCAAGGTTGCGTTAGATTCGTTTGAAATTCCGCCAAATAGGAAAGATTAGTGAAAGCGGCATTGTGAGCACACTGTTTGTAACCTGAGTCGGTAAAAGCAGTTGCAGCATGAGAGAAGCCTCTGTGATATTACTAGGTACTCTTCAAGCTGACATTTGCCCAAGTAGTCATATGATGAGCTGATGTAGTCAGTTGGACAACGTCACATGTTCTTATGTTACCTTATTGACAAGAAAACGTAGGTAGTTTTTAATAACTGGTCAACAAGTCAGACTGATCGACGGCCATGTAACACAGGCCTCATCACTTGTGTGAACACCTCCGTTCTCTCTTATCGAGTCGGTAGACACCACCCCTGACCCCCGCCAAAACAGGAACATTACCGGCATGCAATCACAACAACCCTACCCTTCAAAACCCACGCAAGCTCTCGATCTTGTCCTGAACGCAGACCTGACATAATCTCTTTTATGTAACATGTCATCTCACCTGTCCATTGCTCTGGTGTGACAGGCTGACCATTTAAATGCGACCAGAAATTACGTCAAACCCTCACCCTCACTACCCAAGAAGCGATAAGTTGTTTGGCATCGAAAAGTCAAAGCCAAAGCGTGAACTCTACCGACGAGAAATCACAGCAAGCCCTCACCCTCACCACCCAGCTAGGTATTGACATATCCATCTCAATCAGGTCCAGACCACAGCTCCGACATGTTTTCTTGTTTTAAAAGGTATAAACACTCCTGGTAGTGCAAGTAAATGAGCAGTTTGGGAGATCAATGGAGGTGATTTTACTGTCCCAATAGAGTAGAATTAGTGGTCTTCACTGGTGGACAACCACTGGGTTAATTCGAGTTACGAATCGACTGATGTAGAGACGCCGAATTTTAGAGCACGCCGAGAGCGAATGTTTGAATTGACTTCGCAGATACAGCAGTTTCAGCCTTATTGACGCGGCGTGCTTGCAAACAGAAGGCGGGTGAATTAGGTAGGAGCCAATTATTCAGAACTGAGTGAAAAGCGGGTAGATGCGGATGTCCAGTTAATAATCAGCTAGTATTGCACATCGACATATTTTAATGTCAATATCACGATAATTGCGTCTCTACAGACTGTTTCCATGTGTACACTGAGCATAGGTGAAAATCTCTCGCAGACGTGCGTACGTGCGAAATTTGAGGATACTGAATTCCGTTGTCACAGCACTACCAGATCGATATACTGTCTTATATTCAATTGAAATTTGACGCTGCAAAACCTGACCCCTAACAGTAACCATTAGGACAGCCCCTAGAAGGATCAGAGTTGTGGAGATCAACGACTAATCAATCAATGCAATGTGTCTGTCTTCGATATAGCGGCTGTAGGTCTGGTTTCTATTAATCCGTCGATACGCAAGCATTGCCACTTGGAGGTGTTTGCTACTGGGCAATGTGGTTCACCATTCCCATGGCCGATTTGACGATGTTCACGTGTCGAGTGACTTCATCGCCAGTGTGGACAGAGCCGTTTATCACTGGCACTTCGTTGCCTAGTCCCAAAGCCCTCGGTTTCACTCGGCCCGTCCCAAAAAACTTGCTCAAACCTCATACTCACCGCCGCCTAGACAAGCAGTCGAAAGGTGTTGATGGCGGGCAAATGCAAGATGTCAAGACGAGGTTTTGTGTCACAGATGTGGACGTGGATTGCTCGGTACACTTCAAAGTCATCGCATTTATTCCACCACACCACACGTTTGTACACAACCACTCATCACTTTGGCATTGAATGCACGACGCTACCACCCACAAGTCAGATACCCAGGAACCCGAATGCCTAAAAGCCGTCGATCCTACACTTCCTGTCCTAGCAACTTACTCAGACCTGACACCTTGCATCGAGTAGATCATCAACAATGATCCAAACAAGGAACTGCCGACTGTTGAGAAGTTGAAGGCATTGGAAACGCGTAATTGCTATTGCGTGCCACAACTAAACAAAAACTTGGCGGAATATGAACATTACAGGAATGGTTTGGCACCCGGTAAGAATATATAACGATCACACCTCAAGTCATTAACGTTTCTGCCAGTTGCTATACCTATAATCTCACGCCAGTAACAACAGGGATCATTTCCATACTGTGAGCACATTAATCTCCACAACCACGATGAAGTCACATCGTGGTGGTGTCTAGATCGCAAGATAGACTTCAGCAATATTCGCGAAATCCAGATCAACCGCTCTTTGGACAGTACCATGCCAGGTAATGCCGACTGATGTCTTACCGCTGAACAACTAGATCCACTGTCAACGAAACTGTCCACACAAGGGAAGATGTATCACCATTTACATTGAAGACGTTCAGGTACGTCGGGGAACGCTGGATATGATGTCTCGACTGGTCTCAGATGTGGACGAGGATCGTCTGAATCACTCCATAGTTACCCAATGCATTCCACCAATCTAGTTGTCTGCTCAAAGTAAACGGTCACTTCATTTGTGAAGGCATTGCGCACCGTCCCATGAGCAGCCAGAAACCCACACACCCGAAGGCACCAACCATGTCTCCCACATAATTCACATTTAATCAGACCGATTTTGACTGCATTCCTTTTGTTTATCTGACGCACCATTAAAGTGTCATTATGAAGAATGGTGTACAAATGTAAAATCACAAATTTGGGACACGACAGGTTGGACAAGGAGCTCAGAGTCACGATTCAAGTCTCGTAGGGTCTCCATAACTGGGGATCCTTGTCATGACGTTTGGGAAGGCTGAGATCCATCGGGTAGTCTTGAGTTTTGGATCTATTTCGGATTTGACTAAGTGGTAGTTGATGGTGCTTTCCATCATGAAGCCGACGAATCGGTGTGCAGGTGACGTCGGTGTCGGCACTGAAGTTGGCCTGATTGTGGCTTTGCTGTTGGAGGCAGCTGGCGAAACTGCCGTGGTATCCACTCTCGGGACTATCATTTTCGATTTTCAGAGTCTTTCCAGTAAGCACGCTCGATGGTTGGATTGGCGTTGGTGGAGGCATATTTTCCTTGTCTTTGTCGACTGAAGGGTCCATTCTCAAACAGAATAGTCGTCCATACGCTGTTCTTAGTCTGGCCTGTACTTCAGGCATTTCACGGATCACGTACAACAGACTCTGAAGTACCTGTATGCAGTCGGTGAGTTGACTGGACGTATCTAGCCGACTCTGTTTACGTGGCTGTAAGTGATAAAGTCGAAATTAAGACCCCGGGTATTATACGCCCATTGAAAAAATCGACCAAATCAAACTTACGTCTCCACCAACCAATGACATCGCTATGTCATGTAACTCTATCTTTTTCTTCGAAATACCTGCTCGCCGACGTCTTTCAAGATCCCGTTTTTTGACCTAGGAACAAACAGGCGAGTTAAGTTACAGGCTCAAACATTCGGAAATATTTGCAAAGGTAGATGGTACATACCCTCCTCATGGCTTGTCGTTGTTCCAGCGGCATTGTCGATCTGCGTCCGCGTTTGCTTAATCCACGAGTCTGCTGAGGAGACATATCGAAGGAACGACCTTGTGACACGTGGTGCCTGCATAATGGCTTTTATTTGTCTCGGCGAAGGGTGGCGCTCATTGGCTGAGACAGGAGCCAATCACGTGTCAGTGAATATGGCTCATCCAGACACGTGCGACCACGTGTTCACCAATGACGTGTTCGTGCTTTCCAATGAGGAACAGAAAGCACGAAGTACACGAGTTCTGATCCCCAAGTTATCCTCGCCACACAAACAAGCAACTCTATAAGACAGGGTTAAAATGACTTTTGTTTCGGCATTAGCAGTGTCTGGTTAGTGGGGGTATCTTTAAATTTGATCAAAATACTTTTTTTCCTGTGGCTAAAATACGGCAACATTTGAGTCATGAAACTCGGCATTTGCAGCCCTGTGGTCAGCACGCTACACGCCTTGTTGAAAGTTTCACCAAATTAGTAAAAAGTACTGCCACACAACAAAAAATCGAGTAGGAACTGCACGAATGGGTACTTTTCGCGCCACAGCACATCCGACTTCCATGACCAGAGTAAGCGGAATTTCTGTGTCAGTGAGTTGTCGCTATTGTCGCTGCCTTAGCGACAGTTGTTTGGTCTTGTTAATTGATGTCGAAGTCAATTTGGACAAGTTTCGTTCAGACGACGGTAAATTCGTGTGAATACTTACACTTATACTACCAATCATTTAAAATCAAAGGCACGTATCGACTGAAAAATCAGTTTTTGTCAGTTTTTAAGAAGTATGATTAAAGTAGATGCAAGAAGCGAAAAGTCGTTTAGCATCGAAAAGTCATTCGTTGAAATTCCAAAACGAAATTCCATCACGCTGATGCTTGATTTTTCGCTATTGGAGGGTGCTGTATTTGGGTTCGCCGAAACCGTTTCCCAGTCAACCGCAAGATCTTTTCCTATTTTAGGGTTCTAGGTGGGAAAGTCTCTATTCCCATAACACACCTCACATATTGTTCATTCTGTTCTCCTCTCTCTCTTAGCACACCAAACTTGACGTGCAATATTGTGTTTTTCTTGCTACCACGGAAATCGTGTGGTATGTGTTTTCCTAACAATTCATTCGAGATGTGTCGAATTGAATTCAGCTGATGGGCGATGCCGAGTTGGGGTTGGAGGGGTCAGTTGCAGTGGTGTTGAGCCACCTTCACATCTTGTTGGTGTGTGGGACCCTCGGCCAACAAGATCCCAAATGAAAGTATCGTAATGGCTTTGCATGGTGTGAACACAACATGAATTTTATGGATCCTCAGCGAGATGCGATCACGGATCAAAATTCAAACTTCTCGTCTTGTGGTGGAAACCCAGCTCCAGCGATCTTGTCAACCACGTCATGGCTGCATTTTCTTGTTGGAATAAGGGACAAGCAAACAAATTTGAGCGTGATTCACAAATGGCTCAGTTGGTGATGGAGTGATCTTGGGCACCCCTTTATCTCTCTTCTTCACCCCCTCGAATCCTTCCGAAAAGCGGGATAAATATCATGGGAGAGGAGGGAGAAGGTGCGATAACTGCTTGGGATAAGACACCCTAAATCGTCATCCATCCACGGTCAACTCATCTACGATTCAATCACTAACAATAGGGGCAATGTTGTTGTTGGCAATCAAATCTCTTGTGATCCACAGACGCCCACCATTGGACAAAACCGATTGAAACTGACACTAATGCACCACAAGCAGAATGTCATTCGGTGGTGCGGAATTGTTTTGTGTCAAGATGTGACAGGGCAGAGTGGTTACCAACATTGCCAGTAACTAGAAGACGTGCAGTTATTGCCCATCTTTCACTCTCTCTGTGATGACGTGAAAGGTGGGGTTTTGGAAGTTCGTGGGCAGATCACCAGTGCAATGAAAAGTAGTCGGTCTATCCACCGCCAACTGGTACAGAGTGATGTGGTGTTATTGTGACAGAAGGCAGCAACGTTTATGCAAACTCTGGAGTTATTTCCAGCTCGATTACCATCCATTAGAAAGCTCATTGAATCTACAAATACAGCTAAAGTACATGGTGACCCAGGTGAACACGTCGGGGTCATTGGTTGTAGAAATCCCGACGTAACTACAACGGCTAGGGAAATCCACGCCGGAAATAAGTAAGCAACTTGGCTTCAAGCGATGAGTGGGGGGGGTGGGGGGCAGGCTCGTGACCCGACAGGGAGTTGGCACGTTGAGTCTGGCCAATGAGTTCTTCCTGCCCCCAACCCTACACTACCGCGTGTGCCACATCACCGACAATGCGGTGTCTGCAATTTGGTTGGGGCTCAGCTCTGGAGCGAGATTTATGTTGGCTGTACACGTTCGACCAGCATTATCATCCAGTTGCTGGCTTAGCTCCCAAATTCCACGGGCAGCCCTTGCTTGTGTGCTGTGTTTTACGACTAGGTAGGGGCTCCTACATGCTAGTACAGATGACCACATGGAAGCGAGAGTGCTTCAGTGTGTAAGACCGCTGTAATTGTCTAATGTCAGCGCTTCTGCACAGACCGTGACGAACTTTTCATACCGGGAGTTATTGTTGTAGAAACTTTGCGAGATATCTTCAACAAGGGGTTGAAGGGCAAATGAGGGGAGTGCTGAATGTGCTAGATGGGTAAGCGGGGAACCTGGGTGACAATCACGTGATTATGAAAGAAGTCATGAGGATTGTAGACTTCACAGCCGAACCCATGATTGTGTGCAGATAGCTTTCGAAGTAGCGTTTTCCTTGGATGGTTGATGCATGCACTTTCGATTGTGCAGACGTTTACCTGGATTGTGCGTCCTTCAGCATATTTAAAAGTGGTGATTTCGACATAAACTAACTCCCATCGTTGTAAATGACTTTATTTGTGATTCAGTGAATAATAATCTATGGACAAACAGTGGTATTGCTACCAGGATATGAATTTTGTCGCTTCTCGGCTGTCGAAACAACCCCCAAGGTCCAAGATATGGCAATCAGAATGCGACAAATCATGCTGGCTCATTTCCCTTCCTAATCAACTGCCAAAAATTTTGTCCATGTCAATTTCCTCCATCCAAAGAAAGGATCTGTAGGATTTTACGAAATGCTACTTAAATCTCATAGAATTACCACGTGAATCATGAAGATGGAATACGTGGGTATGTTTAGGGAACGTAGAAACGAGCCTTGCGTGAAAGAGGCAACGCAAGAATGACTTTTAAACCAATCCAAAGAATGGAGCATTGATTTTATAATTGGGCAATTGAAAGATGGTGTTCCCTGTGCAGTGGTCACACGTCAAAGTGCTCGCCACCTAACATCAACTCAGTGTGTTTTAACTGCAGCAAAATCCAAGCTGGGTTTCACAATTAAACCGTTTTTGTCCATAAAAGTGGTCTTTTGTTGATCCACTTAAGAAAGCATTCAGTTTACTCTAAGCTGAGTCCAACAGTCGTGCAAATTGACGGCTGCATCACTTCTTCGATAGAGATTACCCACTTCTATCACCCGAAGTCAAGTTAAATGGTTTTGTTGAGGCTCTAAGATACGCCAAATGAAATCGACCTTCTACAACTGAAAACGGATGTATATATTGAGTGCATGACCTAATTCATTCAGATTTTTCGAAGAGGTGAAAATTATACCTAAAATGCAAATACTTTTGCGGTCTTCCGGATTTTTAAAGGATCGGAAACAAGGTTTCAGAACACGGAACGACAAGTCTGCGTGGGTCACATAGCCTCTCACAGCAGCGGAGTTTACAGTGGCAACTGATGAACGGCGCATTCGGTGGCGTTGCATTTTAAGCGACTCCCAACCAGGAAAAAGTGCGTCCAAAGCACGTGAATCAATTTGCAGTGTTCTTGATGCTGACGTCGTGTCTTCCGTGAAACGTGAAATTAAAGGCACGAACGTTTTAGAAGTGGTGAATTTGGTCTTGGTGACCAACCACTCACCGCACTGTAGCCTGGAAAATTCGAATGAAGGCTCAATGCACACCCAATAAGAGCTTGCAGGTTACTCAGGTGTCATTCAAACAGCTATTTCCAATCTTTAGTTCCATGACTACGGATGTCTTTGCAGCGATGGCATGCGAGGAAGATAGGCAGCCAACCAGGGACAGAGAAGTTTGGGAAGTGGTACTAAATGAGCGGCATGGCCAGCGTGGTGGACTCAGATGGATGGCGCTTGACGTGTGGTTCTGGCTTGTAATTGGTCAATAAAGCCTGTTCCGTTATGACAGTCTGCGTAATTCTAGGGCTCGGGTATTCTACGTCTTAGATCAAATAATTCTTGTACGCTTAAATGAAGCCAATGAGAATATTTTCTTTGTTTTATCATGGTCATTATCATCGGTTTTTGTGGAATCGATTCTATCTCAGTGAAAATGCTGTATTGGGGGTAGTAAAGGCAGTGTTATCTGGGTGGATTATATGAAACAGTCCGCTTTTTTTGGCCCAAAACACGGGGAAGTCGTCACAACAACTGGAAGTGCATTTGCAAACAATTTCATTTCAAATATAAATCAAATGACTTTTGAGCTTTCCATATTTTCAAGTCAGTCAGCCATGAGATTCAAAATAGCTTTCATTGCAGAAGTATAGGAATGACGAAAACGACACTAGCTACCTAAACCCAAACTCCCAGGCTTGAAAAAATGCGTAGGAACCGATTACACAAACACTGAGCTTTAATTTAAAAGCACAGATGTTGCACATGATAAATATGTTAACCATGAAGTTCAGCAAACTAAAGTCAGATTCTCAATGAGAGAATCAGCCCAGTATAGGGATTTGGAATGCGTAAGTGCTAATTCACACCCTTTAAATTTTATGCTCATTTATCCACGTCGAGAGTTTTGCTTTGTTTATTAATTTTGATGCTAAATTACTGTGTTATGATGGTAATAGCATTAACTTAATACTGCATTAACCAGGATTAAAAATCTCAACTCCAAAGTGTTATAATTGTTTCAGTCTGCGGGAATGTCGCCATTTGCAAAAAAATGTACGGTTCACTTTATTCATGGACTGTATGTTAACAGTCTACGCAACATACTATGAAAAACAAAATACTGCATATGAATAGCCCTGGGTGCAGTCTATATGCATCACGCTAATTTATCGAATTTTTGATAAGAAATTAAATGCTGTCTTGACCACCAATTTTTCAAATTTGAGGTCTTATAAGTTAAAAGATTCGATCAATGACAAAATTCATCAATTTGAAATAATTTTTAGCCTAGACTCTATCGATATTTTTCCCACTAATCACAGATCATGCAACTGAAAGTGAATTAAGAACCTCCAAGCGTTCTAACTGGAAGAGACAATTATAAATTACAGTCGACACTAATAATAATTTTTTTTTATGGTGACCAAATAAATTTGGTACCAGTCCTTTTTGAGTTTGGGTTGATTATAACAAGAGTTTACTGCCATTCCTTTCGATTAAATTATGCGATTAATGAAATGGAATGGCTGTCATAGTTTCATTTTATTTGGAGCATATCAAGTAAACCTTTCAAGGCATTTTGCTATAAAATCACTATAGCCTGACCCTTTATTATGGAATATCGATGAGTGGTCGCAATTCTCTTAAACGGTACAAATAATCTTCATTAGTTAATGTATTTATATTAACTTCCATCCCACAACGTGCTTACCTAGCATAAAGAATATTCCACATTAAAAAATAGTCCTTTTGTTCACATGTGTGGTAAAAATCGTTTTCTCGTAATGGAAATCTTCACAAAATATTGTTTTAAATATATCCTAAAACAAACTCCCTAGATTTGTGTGCATTGAAGATTAATAAACCCCTGATTTGAATTTCTAGAAGACTTAGTTTCCTTTCTGTTGACCCCACAAAAACATATCTTGAGTTGATGAATGACACGTCTTCTTGCAGTATAATTTAATGTTTCGTTTAATCAATGATTCTCGACTGACTTCCTCACTTATTAATGAGGCTGTCCCTGAGTTCTAATTGGTTGAACCAATGTCAATCACTGTAAACTATCTGTCCATTTCCACTCACAAGTGCTTGAACATGGTTAATAGCCTCGTTAAGTTAACGCTTGCTGGAGTTGCTGTCGGATTTCTTGGTTATTGCATTTATTTTGACAGGAAACGACGCAGTGATCCTGAATTCCGCTTTAAACTTGCCAAAAGTGGTTTTCGACTTTTCTTTTATCAGTGTTGATTAGGACGAAAAGAACGCGCTCTTGCGGCTGAAAGGTCATCGATGCCGGTCCTTCCTCCATTAAATGATAGACGAGCGGTTCAAAAGTTCTTTTTCGACCAGATTCAACTGGGCGAGGCTGCACTGTCCACTGGCTCAATTGATGAGGGGGTTCAACATTTTGCGTTTGCTATTGTGTGCAGCCAGTCGCCCCAGCTTTTGCAAGTGCTTCAGCAATCGCTAAGTCCTGCGATATTTTCCAAGCTTGTTGCCGCATTACCTGGAGTTCAAAAGGTAAGCTTCTAAAACCCAAGTGCATTTTTTAATACCTGGATTTTAGATGGTCCAGGAAGCACGTGCTCCGGCTGAGCGTGTTCCAATCGAGGAGGATTTGGAATAATTTTTTTTATTCGTGTTTTTAGTCGAATAAAAACTTCAGATAGACTGGTCTTTTTCCCTTGACTTTGTTAAGCAGCTTTCTTGATCATGTTTGTTTTTTAGCCTCTGGTACTTCACTCGATTTTACTGGTGTGTCTCTGCGCGCTGTGCGGAGCTGTGTCCCGCAACCCATTCCAAATGCTGCCAGATCCTGGCGACGTCTCTGTGGACGTTCTTCAACCTGCCACCCAACCTTCTGTTTGCCACACTCACACGATCTTGTCGCGCTCGCTCTGGCACCAGCTTCAAGCAGCTCTCCCTGAAAATTTCGAAGCTCTCCCCTCCGTCGATGTTACATTACGATGCAAGTTGCGTAAAGAAGATATCCAGCTGATTAAGCGTTTTGTAGAGCGCAATCACGAGTTCCCCATTCCTTCGGAAGATACGGTTAACGAGATATTTTCGCGATTTCTGGAACCTCATGTCCAACCAGAGGAAGGTGTCTCTTTTTTATACACCTACGCCCTCTACGCTGTGCCTGTTCTTGCTCTGTTCATTTACCTTAAGTTTGGCTGCATTTTCCTCACTTCCGTCATCATTCTCAGCGTCTCTGCCTATGAACTCTATATTGCTGCTATTGCAAAGCGTCATGCCCTCATAAGTAGATTACCATCTGTTCCCGAACATTGTTTGCCTTATTCTAAGCAATCTCTCATGACAAAATTTTTAAGCCGGATCTCTTTCCGTAATGAAGAACACGATTGCAATCGTTATTTCCAACTTCTAATGACAAGTCCTTTCTCTGAACTGCGCCCTGATCGCGTAATCCTCTCAGTTATCAGTGATTTTGTCGAGTCAGTGTTTTCAACTGTGGGAAGAAGTATCGGTCTGTTTTACAGTAACCTAAACTCGTTTGTGCCCGTGTTTATTGCTCTTCCCTTGTCCCTGGCTTTTCTTTACTTTACGTGTAGCTCACTTTCCTTTCGTCCAAAAGCCAAACGGCGACGGGCCTTGAACAAGAATAAGCAACCTCCGTCTTTGACAAATTAAATACTCTTTCTGCTCTTTGTCAATTATATTGAATAAATATGTGATATTACTGTCTTGATCTTGCTACGCGTGCACATTGTCGCGGTTTTCTGTTGGGGCGTTGCGGTGTTTGGGATTGTTGTGATCGAAATTCTTAGGTGTACAGCGTGGCGAGCGGGCCTGCGCCGAGTACGTGCAATTGTCAATCAGTATTGCTTTTCGTCGAGAGGCGTCTAAAATCTAGGAACTAAAAACGACTAGTTGCATCGATTTCTAAATAAAATGGCAACGGTGCCTTCACTCTTTTAGGTGGTTCTGTCGTTGCAGTTTCGTAACGCCGTTGCAGGTAGCCTTCATTACACAATAACGTGCTAGCAGTTACTTAATTTGCCATCGGACGAATCAGGATCTTAATTTAGTTCGTTAACGTCAATTTACTTGCATGGCTACTGAAACTCCCAAAGATTTCGGTAGTTTTTTGATGTTTCTCAGGGCTGCAGTGTGTGTGCGCTGGGTCCTCCCTTTAGTGGTTATTGGCTTTAAATTTCAGGTATGGAGCTTACTCCAAGAGAATCAGCTCTGTTCATCAGCGAGCACTCAGACCATGTGAAAATTAATAGGAGCGCGATTCCTGCTGTAGCCCAGAAGGTAACTCCTTGACCATGTGAAAATACCCCCTATCCGTAGCTCTTTGATAACCTAAAAAGCGGAGTCTTTGGATCTTCGTGGGACGATCATCCAATGCATCCAAAAGCAGTCGGTCCATCCACCGTAAACTGGTACGTAGTGTTGTGTTTTTATTGTGATCGACTAGGAATTGTGTGGGCTGATGTGGAGTGGTTTCACTCATAAGCCGGGTAAATTAGTTGTGCGTGTCGAGTTCACTAGTCGTAGAAGTCCCACTGTGGATCTGGAACCCTCACCGAGTCTGCCACCTTCCAAAGACCCCTGTTACGCTGTTGGCGGTGCCTTAGCTGGGTTTGGCCCACCGACAGTCATCCAATGAGGCTTCTATCGAGAAATGAGGTGTCCATGGTAAACTGGTGACATGTTCTCGAGTGGCTAAACTAGCTGCTTGATGAGTATTCCCGTCCTCATGACGACCTTTGTAATATAGACACCTACGGCAATCCACGCCAGAGAATCTAGACAATGCTTTCTGTTCCCTTCCCCCAAACTGTTGAGTGTCCCGCTTTACCGACAATGCAGTGTCTACAGTTTGGTTTGGGCTCAGTATTGAAGCGAGATCACAGGTGGTGGCGCTAGTTTGGCCCGCATTTTCACCCAGGTGCTGGTTCAGCTACCAGATTACCACGTACCGTTCTTGTTCACGTGCCATATTACAGCTTGGTGTCTAGATGTTATGTTGCGGCTTGGTTCAGTGTGTAGGACTACTGTAACTCAGTCAGATATCAACACATCTACCCAGAGGACCACTGTTGTAGAAGCCGTGCGCAATGTTGAACAAGAAGAAGTGCAAGACGTGCCAGACGGGCATGAGTGGACCTTGGGTGACAATTCACACGATGTGGAAACTAATCACTGATGAGATTTCTTCCCGTTTCGAGGTCGGTCACTGGCACCAAACTCGGCCACAAGGCGGCCGACGGAGTGAAATCAGACAAAGTTAGCTACCCGACCGTTGAAATTGAGATTGCATTAGGATTTCCTTGTATCCACTAAAGTTTATTCCCTCCTGTCTCCCCTTTAGCCTAGGGCTCGGAATTGATTAGGACGACTCCACTTGACCAATGTTTTCTACCTTATCGAGGTCTGGAGTCAAGCTACGCCTAAAACCGTTTTCCCACACAACCCCTTCTCGGTATTTAGCTTGGCATTATGCATCCGAGCTCACTCAATGTGGCATACACCTCAAATCACACCCATTCCGTGGTTAGTGGAAGTCCAACCTTATCAGTTCATGGGTGAAAAGTGGTAAAATCCAATAGAAGTCTAGTTTAGACTTACAAATCTTACATCGGAACGCAGCCTACCAACATATTTATGAAGTGGGGCCGTGAAATGGGTGTACAGTACCGTCAATAGACTATAAATCGATCACTCGCGTGAGCCTTCAATTCATTACTCCAAATTGTCACGAGTTTGCCTTATCACGTTTCTTGTGCGTTTCACTGATTATTTACTCCTCTTTTACTGCGTTTGAGCACGAATGCGAGACTCCAGGACGTGATTTCCCTAAAAAGTCGTTTAATGTTGCATTTGCACTATTTACCAACCCCGCCAATATTGTCTGGACGAGCTCGCTTATAATCTGTTTACATTTCCAACGCGCCAATAGCGATGAAGCAACGTTCGTCCTCTAGTAAACAATTGCAACATCAGCGTGGATTGTTTTTCGTCTTCACGTTTTTACCCTCCGGGCCTTTCAGGTTATTTTTTCCCTAATTTGAAGGATCTTTTTAATCGACTCCCTTAATTTCTCCTTCTGGACCGACGAGAACATTCCAAAGTACGTCGTGACCTTTAGAGGCACACCGCACACCGGCTACATGGCTCTCTGCGCGGCAATCAATCGTGCGCTGGAGGTAGGTCGCTTTATCTGGTATAACAAAAAACGCTCTCTTTTGTGCAAATTAATTTGAAAGTAAAAAAAGACTGGCGACGCATAAAGCGCCAACTTACGCAGGCGAAAATAATGCGAAGAGGACAAAAGTGATGCAAACGATAGAAACGAAATCTTTCAAAAAAGACCACGCGTAGTAGCCGCTCGTGACTATCAAGATGGCCACCAATAGGCAATTAGTGATGCTAGTTGCCTGGTTACTGTCGTCGGTGCTCGTTTCCGTGCTCTCCTGTGGCTGTTGTTCAGTGAGACGGTGGGCCAAGGCGCAAATCGGTCGGGCCTGTTGTGTGGCGTTGGCAATTAGCGCGGGAAAGACTCGTCGTTGAAGGAGATCTCGCAGCGGTGGAGGTTGGCTTTCAGTGCTTGCGTGGCGGGCAGGTGGTGTGCGCGGATCTCGGCGTTGGGGCATGAGGCACACGAAGATGCCCATGTCACCAGGCAACTCCCGTTGGCTTTCTCGTGGCGTTGGCTGCGCGTTGTACCTGGTGTTAGCTGTTGATGTGTGTCGCCGCGCCATCGGTGCCTTTCACGTGTCTACGGGCGTGTTTACTGGTTTGAGCCAGACCTCGTGGCTTTGAATGCCCCTGCAATCGATAAGGTGGGGTCACGTGATCACGTGGTTTACCACTGATCACATGCCGAGGCGACAGCTGTCCTTGAGGTCATCTATTTTTCATCACAATCTTCCACATGGTGATGATGTCGTGTCACTTAGCCAGAGCCATTTAATTGGGGGTTTAAATTTCCATTATCAATCGATGAAATCGGTGTCTGTGTAGTGTGGCGACGGATCAGGGCGCAGACATATTGGACCACCTGGCCTCAGCAAATCCCGTGTCTCTCTGCGTTTCAATGGCATGCGAGGAAGGAAGGCAGCTAACCAGAGAACGACACGAATGAGGTGCAGTATATAATGAGCGTCGTGGCCAATGTGGTCGACTCGGATGGAAGGCGCCTAAAGTGTGGTTCTGGATTGCGATTGGTCAATAAGGCGCGTTCTGTTGTGTCAGTCTTCTTCCCATTAGGGCTCGGATATTCGACATTTTGACCGCAATTCCATTGGCTAGTGTTATCGTGCAGATTTATTTGCTAGTTTTTCATTAATCACCCACAGGTAAGCATTGCTGAGTAGGGGGTGGACCTGGCTTGTACATTCACGCCGCTGCGTTTCTGTTTTGTTTGTAACGACATAAATAATTCACACAAATGGGGTTCTTTTCAGTCAGGCTTGAAGTCTTCCTCCATCAATCGAATTCCCGATACATTCTTTTTAGGAGGGTAAAAACCTTCTGGATGCGAATGTTTTGGCCTCCCTCACCCTTGACGATGCTCGCTCCATTTTCCGTTCTGACGATCCCAACGTGGAAATTCCTCTCCTGGAGACACGTCTACAAATAATGCGCGAGCATGCTAGTACCCTGCTCAGCGACTACTCAGGCTGCTTCACGAAGTGTATCGAAGCTTGCCACGGCTCCGCCGCCAAGTTGCTGAAGCTGGTGTGCGAGAAGTTTCCATCGTTCAGCGACAAAGCCGTGTACAAGGGTCGTAACGGTGAGCATGCTGCGTATTCACTAGGTGTTCCATCACCTTGCCCTAACGTCACCTCCTTTCTTTGCCTGTGATTCAGTTACCTTCTATAAACGTGGGCAAATTCTAATCGCCGACCTCTGGTTAGCCTTCAAAGGAGAGTCATACGGTCACTTCGATGACATCGACTCACTCACAGCGTTTGCTGACTACAGGTGCGTTTTTTCTCAAATGTCAAAGTCCAAAAGTATCTGTTTATTCCTCAACCGTCGTGTTTAAGTCTTCCACTGAGGCGTTCTTTGTTTTTTTTTTAGGGTTCCGCAGGTTCTGGCCTACTTTGGTGTTTTGCACTATGACGACGAGCTAATGCAGAAGCTTTTAAAAAGTAAGTCCATTTGTACGAAAACGACACACTCTCTCACCCCATTACTACTGCTACTGGCTTCAATTCGGACCTGGTGAAATTGGGGTCGGTGTTGGTGGTGCGCTCTGGCAATGCAAAGGGCTACTGTCCCATTTAATGAAAATTTCTGTCGTCATCTATGTAGATAGCACACATCATTTTCTTTTCAGAGGAGCACCTTGAAAGTGGTTCGGTTTGGGAGGTGGAAATTCGAGGTGCCTGCCTCGAGGCCGTAGAGGTTAGTTGGCGTCTTTTCATTGGTTGGTTTGTTTTCGCGCCACACAATTCGCCATTGTTCTCGGTTTCCGTGAAATGTTTTTTTTGTAATTGTAGCTGATTGTGCAGAAAACCCGTGAGCTGTTTGCGGAAGCAGGTGACGAAAGAACGCGTTGCAACTCAATTCTCGCTGATAACTTCTTGTGGCTTTATCGTCGGCAGTTCGCTTCTGAAGTGGAGGAATGCATGCCAATGCATCGCACACGCTGCATTTATTACTGAATTTTCCGAATCAAGTGTCGTAATAATTGAAGTGAATGTTTTTCCCCGGTATCCCTTTCCTTCTCAGTTTGTTTAAATTAAGGCACGGCTACTGCGAGCGCGTGGGCTATTTAAGATTCGCCAACTGCGCGTGTATGTGATTTCACGTTGTGTGCAACAAGCAGTCAACTCAGTGAAAAAGTCAACAAATGAGAGTTAAGCGCAAATTGAAAGGTCTTGAGCACTTCTCACGTAGTGGCACTTGCAGCCAATAACTCTGCTTCTTGGAGTTAGCAATCGATGAATCGTTGCTTCGGGTCAGATAGGTGATCAAACAGGTAAACATCCGTCACCGAGATGTGGTTCATGTTGCCAAACGATTAAGAACAGGGAACTGAGGTGGGCCATCCTAGAATTTGGAGGAAGTCCGTTGATTAGAATTGACTATTGATCTCACTTTGATTTCCGAAAGTGTTGGCCTCAAGTTTGATGGAGATTCGTGGTTTTCTCAAGCACTGTTACGATAGTGCAATTTAAGTGCCTGCCGGAACGTATCACTGTGATAGTTGAGGCGACTGGTAGTTTACTGTGGTGTCTCCGTGTCAAGAAGCGGACTTAACGACTAATAGAGGATGTTTTCTTTGGCATTACACCCGATGAAAAAGACCTTTTCTCTTCACTTAAATACTCTGAATGGTCCATCGATTGTTGTGGTTGTCAAGTATATGGAGACGTGAACTTAGGACTGTGTGATGCTGTGTTGGGTGAACGCGCTGGGTTTTTCACGTGGATCTAGCCACTATGGTTGGTACGTCACAGAGGAGATTTGTCCAGGAAAGTTCGATGTTGCTACGAGATCCATTTCTTCCGAAGAACGACAAATATCTTTCTCTACCGATGCGTTGATCCCGCGTAATACCAGCTCTACTTGATCTGTTGAAACAGCGTTTTGCTAACTCATGACCAAAGGCGCTGTTATAATTTCTGATTTCATGAAAATTAGTAATGTGAATATGGGATAAGGGCATTGTATATGCTGAAAGCTTGTTTAGAAACACTACCAAAAACTGCGAGGGAATCCTCATTGCAATGATTGAACTGGTGACCCCATACTTCAGCTCTATACAATTCTGGTTTCACGAGAGTGAAATAACACTTGAAATACTTTAATCAAGGTGAGTGTTATTTCATATTAATGCAGCTATCCATTTAAAATCTACTGTATTTCAATGGCCAAGGGCTGATTTAGTGATTTTGCGACTCGATTTGAAGTACCCATTTTGACGATTTTTTATGTACAGCAAAGTGCTTGTATTTACAGATATGATTATGCGGGCGTAAGACACTGCGCTACGTGCAAAAGTCTGTTACTTCATTAAAATTAAGACAGTAATTGGCCGATTAAATGAAAATCTTAAACAAAATTTAAAGATAATTAGCTGATGTCTTGTCGCAGCACTTATAAATTTTAACAAACTGGTTTGATTTTGGCGCAACAATTGCAGTTTAACAATTCTAATGATCTGTCTTTGAAAAAAATTCGAATCTTTTACTGTATCTCTCGATCCTTTTTTATGCTTTTTTTAAATGGCAACCAAAGTCACAAAATCGGCCCAAAATATTAAAATCAAGTTAGGCTGACATATCAAAGCTATTATACACAGCCGTTATATTTTTTAGTGTATAAAAGTCACTGGGATTAAAGCACAAACTGAGGTCATTGTAACGGGTGTCTGTCCTTAAAAACATTAGATCATCTACATGATCGTTAGTTGCAATTTCAATATGATTAAGGCAATACTTATTTTCCTTAAGCCCTATATTTACTTCCGATTAAGACAAAAATAGCATTGTTGTTTTGTGGATGATGTTCTGAAGTTTCAGGTTCTCGTATTTTTTATGTAAAAAATGTTCAAAATAAAAACTTTAACAGACAAGTCCGACAAAATGATGTACTAACGTATTTATTTCTATATATCACATATCTCAGCAGATATTGTTCATGGTTTTAAACTGCATTTTTTTACTGCAATATCCTGTGAGTCTAAAAGTTTACATGATAATTTAATATCACCTCCATGCATCTTGTGAAAAAATTCGTTTAAGAAGAAATTTGTTTCGATGATGATGGGATTAAACAGAGGTTTTTCCACTTAATTGCACTTTTAAGAACTACATGTGAATTTTTTATGAAAAATTGACTCTTAAAGAAAACAACAACAGAACGATTGTTTACATATATTGCGCATCTGCCACCAATTTCGAAATAATGAAGCTGACGGACGTTTTGCAAGTTCGGAAGATTTACCCATTTCGGCAATATGATTCATGGTATAGGAAGGATCAGTGGTTCCGGTTTGCGTTTGTGAGTATATGTTACATTCAATGTTTTGTTGTGTATTTTTTATGTAGTCGTAAGCCATTATTGGCGTCGTCGAGTTCCTCATGTTTTTGACAAATACTTGCAATATGAAGGGATGTTAACTCTCCTTCAGTAGGTTTTTTTGTTACAACACTTTAGAGGCTTTTTGTAAAGGTACATAAGTCAGTATTGGTTTTTTTGATAATCAGCCAACTTGAGGTCCTAATCGTATTGTTTTGCACTCTGAGCTTGTATATATTATTGTTGTTCAAAATGTTAGCTGCAGTCCCCTTTTTTACCATTTCCCCGTTATTTTTTGTTTTTTCTCATACCTAGTGAATTGCTTTTTGTTTGTGATTACGTTTGCGTTTATTTGATGCGAACAGCTTGAGAGTTGTCGCCATTGCCTCTATACACCGTGTTGAGCCTATCATTAATTAACCGTCAGCTATTATTTGTATGAGGTTATTTTCTTGGTTTGCTTACTTATTTCCTTTTGCCCTTTTTCGATTTGTGAGTTATAATGTTATTCACGTCTTCAAGCTTTCAAGGATATGCAATATAACTAGTCGTCGCATCCCAAGTGGTTACGTGGTTTTCATTCTTTCCTTATTTTAGTTGTTTAGAGGGCGTGCGGCCAGGTGTTTTCGGCTAGCACGTGTGCATGTCACAAAAGCCCTCGAGCATGTGAAGATGGTTAGAAGAACCAGGCGACGCGATATGTACGCTATGTGGGACGCGCGAATTGATTGTGCCTGCAAAGACCATGGTTTACCGTCTTCGCAAGTCTTGTACACTGGCCTTGCCCAGTCAAATATTCCCCTCAACAGGAACATTCTTCACACACTAGCTCTGTACGAACCTCGGACGTTTGAAGTAAGGTACTTTTGATTCACGAAAAACGCTCCCTGCCTAGAGTCTTGTAGATATAGCCAAACAATACCACTTGGAAGTCGGATGCCAAGTTCCCAACGCCTCGCCTCCCTCAGGGCCCTTCGTTTCCCGTGGAATGTTATCAAAACCAATTGTTCCTGGAAACAAGCATTTGTATGAATAGCCCCGCATACCGCACTCCTGTACATTAGTTACATTACAAATAAATTGTTTCTGAAGAAACTGATTTTTTTTTAAAATTGTTGACCTGACAGGACGTGTAGCCCATAAAAATTTCTTGTAGTTTTTCCAATGACCAGATCTCTTAGTTCGTCTACCGCATCCTCCATTGCAAGTGCACCAGTGGAGGAAGATCCTGGTGTTGGCGATCTCGTTCGATCGGTGTGGAATCAGTTGCGGTTTGGGTGGACCGTCTCAGTGACGCCAAGCTTCACTCCTGACATTCCGATTCACTTTCTTGGTCGGCGTTACATTGAATTCAGTGATAGTAAGCTCATTTCCCTAAGTCTCAGTTGTGGGCGATATTAACTGCATGGACATGGGGTCTGACAATTAGAATATCCCCCATTTATTTTAGATGAATTGAAAAATATCCCATGTGGCCAGGTAGACGGCGACTTAGAGGCATTTCTAGCCGATTTCCAGTCTCGCCTCTGGTTCACCTATCGTGATTCCTTCCCACCCCTCCCTGTTCCTCATTACGACTCAGGTAGTGACTCAGCATCTTCCGCCTTCGACCCACCAGTTGCGTATTTCAGGAGCACAGCAGTCCTACGACGCCACCTGCGTGACTCCAATGTCCCGCCAACCCTCGGTTCGAGTCCCGCCAAGAAAATCCCCCTTTCTGTGCGCACTTCCGACTGTGGTTGGGGCTGTACAATGCGATCGGCACAGATGCTGTTGGCGCAAACTTTGATCACCCACTTTCTGGGTCGTGATTGGACGTACGCAGCAAATAAGTGGTGCGTATGGCTATAACCTCTTCGTGTTCTATTCACCCCTCGTTTCTATTCTCCATCAGCCCTCCTTCTGGGTGTCACAGCAACCTCCACTCCAAGCCTCTCTTTACCTTTCTTACAGGGTATCCTCCAATGACCCGTCGGCATCCCTTCACAGACAGATAATCAGGTGGTTTGCGGACTCACCGACCAATCCTCTTTCGATCCACAAATTAATCGAGGCCAGTGGAAGTCCTCCAGGCACCATGTTTGGCCCTGCGGCCATCTGCAGAGCTCTCGTGATCGCCATGGCGATGGCGAACACAGGTGCAGCGCACGGCGACTGCCATCTGAGTGATGTCGAAGTCTACCTCGCTCGCGATCGGGTCATCTGCACAGAGGTCAGCTCATGATCTGCGTGTGTGTGCTGGTATGTGCTCCCTTCCACGATCTTCTAAAAACCAACACTTTTCCCTCGCTTTCTGAAGGAAGTCCTCGACCTGCTTGATCAGAGCTCCACCTCTCCCAAGTCCCCCACTCGTGGCGACCAAAATGGCGCGTGCCGATCGCATGCAGGTGGACGTGGCGATGCCTACACGTCCACGTCCCCCTTCGGTGAGTTCCTCTATGAGCACACGAGTGTGATTGTCTGGACATGTTTTCATCGATTTTACATAGGCAATCGCGTTGGTTTTTTTAAATGGTTGCTCCGTGCTCTACAAGTTTGCTCATCTGCTCATGTTTAGACACAAAGAGGCATTGCTACTGGCGTTGATTACACATAAACCGCCGTGACCTGAGGGGAACGGGATGTAGAGTCGAAATGGTTGTTCTGATGCGCTAAATTTTACTCCTGATGTTCCATGGAGCTGAACTTTGATAATGTTGATGCTAGAGACTCAACTGCAGCTCGTTAGGTCACAACCTAATTTGTGCACATTTTTCCGGCAAATTTATTCAGTGTAGAAAGTAGCAAACAATGAAATTAATCGTGGAAATATTTTCCATCGCCACCTCTAAGGTAGCTTGCGAATGCCGTCGCAGAAGAAACTATTTATGCATTAAGGCATGCTGCTGCATTGACCGGAGGGCCAATTCTGGTGACTATGCCGCGTGTGGGACAACTTCCCATCCCAAGTTCAAGAGGGTCTAGTGAGTCGGGCGAGCAGCGTGAGGTGGTCGTGCGTCGCCATACATCAACAGTATGACTTGCCTGCTTCCTTGCCCAGTAAATTGCCTTTTCTGATCTCTGGCCTCTTCGCTCAGTTTCTCCAAGTGTCGGCTGTGGCGTTGAGCAGTCACGGTCTGACGACCAGCTTCCAGGAGTTCGTAGTCAAGTGCACCTTCCATATCCCGACAGATGCACGGGTGCAGATAGCTTCTTCACGTGGATTTCCTATTTTCGGCGATTTCATCACCCGTTGCAATTTTCCACAAAGGAAGTCCACTCACTCCTTGTTGCAGGAGGGCAAGCAGTGAGAGGCATGTGTTCAGACGTTGACGAAGGTTGCATTCGGCCAACACAGATGTGGGACCCAACTTCCACGCTTGTTAACCGTTCCTATTTGATTGTGCAAGTGCGTGGAAGTGGCAGTTTGGGTGACTCCTAATCGAGCTGCAAGCGTTGGCATTGCTTCCTTGCTCAGTAAACGGCCTTTTCTGTCTAACTGTCGGCTGTAGCGATGCGTAGTCGCCGTCTGACCAGTTTCTAGGCGTTTGTAACAATGTACACCCTTCATGTTCCACCAGGTACAAAGGAGAACCTTCTTCAAGTGGATGTCCTGCTTCCGCGTCAGGATCAACCCACGACGTTGTACTTTTAGAATTCTCGTAAAAGTGCACTTTATCCACAGGAAGTACCTTTATGCTGCTGGATAAGCAGCCCAAGACAAACTCTTGGAAATAGCTGCTTGGGTGGTTTCTAACCAGTATAGTTTGCATTTCCGCATCTTCAAACTTTCTAAGCCGCTGTCCTAAACGCGGTTGGTCACTAAGATCGAAGTCACCACTCCACCCATGCCCTGAGACCCGCCGTCGGCACCAAGCACACTACAATTGCTTCTTGTGCTGCGGAATTATTTCCTCTTTGTTAGAATTCGAATAAAGTTCAGTGCCATCGATTGCTCTGCTATTCCGTGAGGTTGTGTAACTCGTGGACTTGCCGTTCGGTGTTGTTAAATCTTGCGTCAAATCCTTTTAAGACCACAAAAGATTGGTGCCACTGGGGTTAGCGAGGTCACTGTTCTCTCGGCTTACGAGCAAAAGTTGTCAAGTTACTTTAACCAGCGATATCAGGTGGGCGCAGATGCGTGCCCCTCTCCCTCTCTCCTCCAATCTGATTGGCTGTCTGTTCGCACAGGCGACTTGGCGAATTCCTACGTGTTTGACAGCCTACTGGCGCAGACGGCGGGTGGGCGTGGCCGGACCAGTCGCCGGACGCGCCACCGCGGCCTCCTCCTGCTGCTGCCAATGCGATTGGGCGCCGGCGACCGCGTCGACGCCGCCTACGTGCCGACGCTGCTGCGGCTGCTGCGCGACCCGGCCTTCGCGGGCCTCATCGGCGGCAAACCGCGCCACTCCGTGTTCGTCGCCGGCGTCCAGGACGACAGGCTCATCTACCTGGACCCCCACTTCTGCCAGGAGGCTGTCGAGGTGGCCAAAAACTCCGACAAATTCGACGTCTCGGTAAGCTAGGGGTGGGTGTGGGCAGGGTGACCTTGTGTTGATCGGCTTTTAGAAGTAAGGGTCGGCTAATTGCGATTGCGGATGTGTGATTAGCATCCGCTTTTAAAGTACACAGGTCGCTAATCAAACCTGCCGCCTATCGACCAGGCTAGACCAGTAAAACAGCAAAGCGCGCGAAATCAAGTTTAGTAAAGGGCACTGACAGGTCGCAGGCAGTGCGGCGTTTTCAACTTGTGTGTGTTTGATGTAGAATGCTGAGGTGTTTGCCAAAACAGCTTTTGGATTTTAATCGCATTATAGCCCGCACAACTGATCGTGTTTATCGAAACACTCTAGGCTCGCCCGTCTGATATACTACTTATAACGTCTTTCAGTAGGCAGGTTATTAAATGCAATCTGCCCAATTTTTAAGTCCATTAATGCTCTTGGGTAAAATAGCGCAACGCAACTTCTGTGTTTAAAAAACTGTTCATGTCTACTTGTTTTTTTTGCGAATTTCACATCCATTTCGTTTCCGGATGCTTACAATTGACGATTTCCCTTGTTCTTTCTCTCTTCGACATGCGTCAACCTCTAGTTTAGTAGAACAAGAGTGTGTGTAGACGGGCAGGCTTTTCACTGGTTCTTTTCGTGTGTTCCCCACTCTCCCCCTCCCGACAACTCTTGTCAAGCATCAAGTAGCCTGGCTAACTACTTAAACTCATTTCAGTAGCCTGGTTAGTATTGGAAACTGGTTCTTTGAAAAACAAATCCATCTAGGGGTCAATATATTCATGAGTAATTGAATTCAAAAGGACGTGTGTGTGTGTGTGCTCGCGTGAAGTCTTGGCAAGCAGCAAATGGATAAGTTAACTACTTAAAGTACATTTTCTCGCTTCTCATTGGTTCATTTTGTATGTTTTATCTGTCAAGTCTTGGCACTGCACAACTCCGCGCGTGATGCAGGCGCGGCGCCTCGACCCGAGCCTGGCGATCGGTTTCTACTGTGCCAGTCAGTCGGAGCTCTCGGGCCTCCTCGCTCGTCTCCCCCGCGTCTCGGAGGTGCGCTCCCCCACCAACCACTCGCGCCATCAGCTGATCGAGGTGGTTTCGGCGTCCGAGGCGCGTCACCTCTTCCCCGACCCCCAGCCCCACCTCTCTGCCCCTCTCTATCCACCGATTGACGAAGACGCTGATGACGACGTTGATGATGTCTCGGACTTTTAATGCAATGTGCAACTGACTTGCCTCCCTGTCTTCTCTCTGTGTTTTACTCATTTCGAAAAGCGAATTTAACCGTTATGTTGTGACTCTTGTTCTCATTGGTTAGGCAATCGCGCCTGATTCAAATCGAATCGCAAGCCAATGGTCTCCCAGCCGCAGGAAGCCAAATTCCGCGTCGTTTTCAGGTTCAAAATAAAATATTTGGATATCGGAGTCGGTCATTTGACCTCCCTGGTTGCGCATGCACTTGTTCACCCACGTGTGTGTGAGGTCGTGGCCTCGTGAACACGCCAAACCTGTGGAGATCTAGTGCTACCTTAGAAACACTTGCCATTGGTTGAGTACTGTGGTTTGAAAATTACTCCTGAGGGGTGCGTACGCTGGTACTGGCGCTATTCGCGGTAACTGAAGCCAAATTTCAGTGTCTGATCCCAAGCCAAACTAAATTTGCTCAATATTGTTGTGCAGAGCTGGGCAGACATTCAAATCCCTCAAATTATATCATTTTATTCCGTGCATCGTTTGCGTAACCAGCACCCTATCTGTAATTCTGTTTTCAAATTTCGCCATTTGTAATATTCTCACTACTTTTTCTTTGCTAGTAGTTGGAATACTTCGACAGTGCTGGCGAACCTGGTCGGGTAAAAATTGACGTTCCACTATTCCTGTGTTCTGCTGTGGATTTTCTCATTTTGACACTACAGATTAGTTGTTCTTTTACAGCGAAGTTGTGTTATAGTGGGACTAATCAATCAAATCGCCCTGAGTATTTCATAAACGTAATCAGATGACTGATCACTTGCCAGGAGGTTGAAGTTATCAAATTTCCTCCAAAATCCAATTTCGCCTCATTGGGAAACGCATAGAAGTGCCCGTGGATTTCGTGAGAATCATTTCGCGGGTGAATTAATCAACAACACAGAAAATTAACCAAGGCAATCAGAGAATCCTACCTATAGTTAATTTAGTAGTATATAAGTAGACCAATCACCAGAACTCCTCTGAGCCATCACACCTCATTGAAAACCGCATCTACCCAGAACCGTGCACAAGACCGAACAGGCATTTTACGCGCGTTTAGTAACCATGGCGCGCCAACGAATGACGCTGACATTGGCAGCAGTGAAGCCCGCGCACGATTCCACCATTTTCGGTAGTCAAAACGCCTCCACTTCACCTGCACTCGCGCCGCGCGCAAACTCAAGTCCTGATTGGTCGACTGCCTCCACGCGTCCGGTGTGCTCTGAGCTGAGCCAATCACGTTGGCACCAGCACGGCCGCGTGTGCAGCCTGCTCTAGCGGCTTCCGCATTCCACCATGGAGGCGTTGTCTAAACTGGTGAGTCCTGTCCTGTCCTGTCTTGTTTTCCATCCGAATGGAGCATCGTCGTCGTTGTCGTTGTCGTGTACGGACGCGCGTCTCTCTTGTGGAGAAGCGATCCTGGAACGGCGACGGCTAGTGCCAACATGTTGGCGTTGCAGCCCGCAGTTGGGCTTCGGTGTGAGCACGATTGTACACGTACTGGGTTACCGGGGGGAGAGAATATCTGGCCTCTAGCCTGAGAACACGCTTCGGCTTGTGAGCAGGTGACGTATCGCCTTCAGCTCCACTACCGCTCAAGTGGGCTTCCTCCAACATGAGCGCATTACCTTCGTCTGTGGCTCCAAAGTCACGACGTGTTCGTTCCTTGTAGTCGTCCGTGTGTCGTCCGCCATCGTCGAACGGCCACACACCGCTGGGGTTCCACGACTTCGCTGCGGCGGCCGCCGCGGTCTCTGCACCCGCGTATCACCATCATCACCACCACCATCACGACGCCGTCGGCAGCCTTCCCACGCCGCCCCCTCTCCTGCCATTGGCCACTGACAGCGTCGACGTCAGCGGTGGCGGGGGAGGTGCCCTGTTGGGTGGAAGTGGTCTGCTCAACGTGAAGATGAGTCCAGGCGGAGGCAGCGGCGGTGGGGGAGGCGAATTGGAAGGCAAAATGGGCCTCCCTGAGCACCAACCGCCACCCAAAAAGCTCTTCTCCGATGACATTCCTGTGCTGTAAGTTCCCCTTTTCCTCTCTCTTGCTTTATGTCTAAACACGTCAGGAACAGCAACTGTAGATGTCGGCACGAATCAGGTATGATCTGACCGTTGCGGAATTCAGTAGTCAGTAGGCAAAGTTTAAAATCACCCTACCGTAATTTTGGCCCTAGTTTGGCACGCACTCGCTCCACTTCCCACACACGTTGACTGACTGTTGTAGCTAGCCTATTGACCAAATCTCGCCTCTCTATAATCTGCCTCCTCCATTTGATTGAAACCCGCAAGTTCTCCCAGTGGTTAAGGGTTGCGTGCAGAGATCTCTTACAAGATGGCGATAGGCTCCTTGCACCAGTTCCAATCTAGATGTAGATTATAGCGTTGCTTGTGGCAACAGACACTGGACTTTTATAGTGTGGTTATCCAAGAGCTCAACTCTTTCAAAAAAAAACCTGTGCGGGACTGGAGCAGGTGCATCCACGAACGCATCCTTCGGATTTCCACCTGTTGGCGTCCCAATTGGACGACAACGTTGTGCCAAGAATGTCACGACTTTTGATTCGTGTGAGGAGTTCCACTCACCTACGGTTTATTTTTTTCACATCGTGCCTTTAAAAGTTCATTTACTAGCCCACATACCCTGTGACCTCGCGTTGTCCGGTGTCTTGGGGGGTGGGGGGAGGAGGGACGCGTGTATCCCCTGGCCACAGTCACACATGTCAGGTGGACACAAAACAGGGGTCCCATCACTGAAACGCCTTTAATTGATTTGCAGCGACCCGTTCCCGGGCTACTACGGCTTCGACCTCTACCACCCACTTTGCGAGGACGCGTATGACTCCATGGAGACGAAACCCAGCACCGCCTACTTCGTAAGTTGGTCTTTCGTGAGTGGAGTAGTCGTAGAGCCCCACCCAATTTCGGACCGGTTGCCAAGGCAACAGCCTTGACGTTGCCCAATCGTCAGCGCATGTGTAACGAAGGCTTAGTGACGACTTGCGCATGAGGCGTCTCTAATTCCCCACTCCTCCTCCTCCTCCTCTCTTCGTAGTTCTTCAAGGACGACCAAGGCTGGACGAACTTGTACGCGAAGAAGGCTCCGACATGGTGGACCTTATCCTACTGGTGTCAACGACAGCCGCCTGAGGGGTGTCTCATTCGTCTCACGCCTGTCTACGGAACCTCCGACAAACAGCAGGAGGTCATCCAAAGGTGTGTTGTGCTATTCGGTGTTGGTGTCGGCGTAGATCAACTCTTGCCCGCTGATTAGGGCTAAACTCGAACCTGTCTGGTTCCATTTTGCAAGATTCTACAACAACTTTGGGGGAATTTGGAATTATCCAAAGCCGCCACTGTTGATAAACACTGTGTTGGATTTTACCCTCATACAAATGCATGCAAACCGCATGCCAAACTTCCAAAACAGCCGTTTTTTGGTTGTACTTTTAAACTAAGTCCACGTCGTGGTGACTGAGTCGATGTCTGTCAGAAAAAAACAAGGTGGGCATGGCACGATGTGGCGGTGTGGCTAGGCTGACGCGAGCCAGAGCCACGAGTAGCTCATTCCGTCGGTTTTCTGGCCGTTTTCAGGTGTCTGGAGGACTTCATGACCTCACCGACCCCGGGCATCTCGCGCTACAGCATGATTCTCGTGGGCAACTCCAACGCAGAGTACTTCTACGACCCGCTAACAGAGCGCCTCTGTGTCACCCTGCCCTACGAGCGTCCCAAAGGTTAGTCTACCCCCAGCCACGATCGATAAACAACACCCCACCACCTCCATCACCACCACCCCCTTCCGGATGACTAGTTTTCTCGAGGCACGTCATCGAGCTGTCGTTTACTCGAACAAAAAAAAAGGCTAACAGAACGCGGCCAGAATTGGGTTCGGTAGTAGTTGTTGATTTACGCTTTGTTCACAAAGAGTAGCGTTTTGAAAACAAGCCGGCCTCGGCGGTGTGGTAGGGAGCCTGGGGTAACCCCTTAGTACCACGGCTCCCCTGGCCGCTGGTTGTAACAGCAGTCACTCCTCCGCCAGAGGTACTCGCGAACCACAACTTGTGTCACTCAACTGTTGAGTGCATCCAAAGCGGTTGATGAGGCGATAAGCTAACCCTAAACTACCAATGTGCCTGACTAATTTGTGCCTCCCGCCGACGCACACACGCCCAGTCAGCGTACGATCTCTGTCGAGGGCCGTCAAAACTGGTTGGCTGTGGAACTCTTCTGCCCCAGCACACGGTGGTCTCACGCTGAGGTGGAGTTGCGTTGTAAACTTTGCAAACCGCACCATCCACTGAGTCATCACGCTGTGCGCAGAAGGGCGTGTGCACTGTTGTTGATGTTTTTATTGTTTTGCTTCTTCTCTATTGCAGAAGGCTGCGAGTACAGCCAATTCAACGGCAAATTCACCTGCTTCAACAGCTGCCTCTACAACGGGGGTCAGGGCAACAAGAAGCCTCTCTACCTCATCATCACGCTGGAGCGGCCAATGAAGAAGTGAGTGCCGATGCGGGGAGGGGGTGGGTGTTACCTTTAGTGACATCGTAGTCTAAGCGAATCAATCTCTCACGCACAACACGGCAGTTATAATAAGGCGGTCATCGCATATGAGTGCACGCGTGCGCGCTTGCGTGCGTGCATGACTTTCACCCGTGCTCACTGTGCGTCCACCGCCCCCATCATAATCGTGTAGTTTGTGGGTGTGTGGGTGGGCGCCAAGTGAGTCGGTGTTCCGTCTCAATGTGCGTGTTTCAACAGGTGGTGTTGGTGGCGTTTAACTGTTCGTGTGACTGTCCAGGACACGGTGCCTGCACTAACCGCGGTTGGGCCACGTGGTAGCGGTCAGCGTGCTGAGTCGCAAGTCAAGTCACCCGTGCCTTCAGGGCACTTGGAGAGATATCATCTGTGTCAAGCCTGTTCCAGCGATGGCAGTGTCCCGAAACGCACTCTGGCTTCCTGTAATGCCGTTTATGCACCCATCCAAACCTATTCGAAGTTCCATAATGCAAAACAATGTAAAGAAGGCATTGGCACAAATAACTACCGAGTGGTTTTGTTGTTTTCGTCAGCGGTACTGCCACGGAGGGTCCGTGGGAGGTATTGGGTCGGCAGTGCCTCAAGTTTCGGAGTTGCGCCTGTCCGAAGCGAGATAAGGACAACAACGAACGACGCATGGCTCAGGACCTGAACGATGGATCTCTCCTCTCGGGTGGTCTACCAAGTTCCAAGCGTCGGCGTGATGGCGGTGAGTTCCCGTAGTCGAAGTTACTTCCAGTCGAAGCTAGACTCCTTCCCCGTGCTTATTTCTCTCCTCAAATTGATTATTTAGCATCACAGAGAGCCGCGCGAGTGAACCGAAGCAAGGGTTTCACGCCAGCGGGCGATCGCATCGGTACACCGCAGTTTTTCCAACACGAAGACGTCTCCTCCATCGCGGGCTACGACGACCTCGTCCAAATCGACGGAGAGTCCTTCCACCTCATTCTGATGCCTGCCTACCTGCCCGGAGGCGCGAACACTCTGCGCCAGATCCGTTCCGCCCTGCTGAAGGTCTTCCAGACGGCGCGTGGGGGTGAAGAGGAGCGCAAGACGCACGAGAGCGTCGCCTCTGGCTACAGTGCCGAGAGGCACGAGGAGTTGTTACAGGCTCTCAATTCAATCGAAGGACGCACCGCAACGCTATTGTGAGTTTCGTTTATGCTGACAGTCCTCACCTTCAGCGTCCCTTCAACGCGTAAGTATACTTTTTCTGACTTTCCAGGCGCGATCTTCAGACGTCGACTGGTTTCATAAATCCGAACAACTGTTCATCAGACTCCCAGCCCAATTCGTCGACTTCGCAAACCTTCCCTGGTCCGAATGGTGGATCGGCCGGAGCAATTGACCTCATTGGAAGCTCAACCCTCGACCTCCTGGCTTACGACCACCTACATTCGCAGCATCTCCTCAAACCCGAAGGCAGCTTCTTGCAGCCCTTTTCCACACAGACCAACGACTACCACCGCAGAATGAGTTACCCCTCCACCGGAGCCACTTCCCTCGACACCCACCAGCAGCGAGTCGGCGGATGCTTCGACGGAGGAAGCGGAGGTGGCGACCTGTCCGCCTTCAACGGAAGCATGGAGTCCTCAGCTGCAGCCTACGCTACAATGCCTTCGGCGTTCCAGTCGTTCCGAGACAATGGCGGAATGCACTACCAGCCGAACGTCTTCATAACCACCTCCCAGACGACGGGGCACTCGGCTGCTTCGGTCGCGGTATCTCATGACACCGACGGGACCATTGTCTCGGTGTTCGGCGGCGGCGGCGGCAGCACTGCCTCACAAGGCGGGAAGCTGTTTAATGAAGTTACCGACGGCAGGCAACAACAGCAACAGCAACATCAGACAACCGCAACGTCCACTGCGACCGACGTCTCGATGGTAAGTGGATGACACGAGAATTGTGCCTCGGGTCTACATTTTCGACTTAAGAGGTTTGTGTTCGCGAAATTCTCCCCAATATAAGTCTCAAGCTTGGTGAAGCTGACCATTGCCTACCACGCCATCCGCTTTTTTGGCAACGCAGAAATTTAGGCGCTATGTATGTCGTGGAAATGTTTAGGGCGAAGCATTTGCATTGGTAGGGATAAGAATATCCAAGATGCACAACTAATCTGGACCCCTATTTACTCTTTCCTTTACCAAAGTCACCGGAGCCATTTTAAACTCGAGGTAACGTTTTTGTCCTTGCAACCTTTACTTAACTCTCCTTTTTCATTGTTCTGCCGTTTCTAACTACGCGGTGACACATTCTGCAACTCCTAACAACAAAACAGCATCTCTGATACAAGTGGCACTTAGATTAGTCGATTTCGCCTGCTTCTAACACTACTGGTCGCTGGCTCGGCGCTTTCGGTTCATTCAACAAGCTGTTTTCTTTGTAGAGCAATTCGTCTTGTGGAACCTCCTCGCCCATATCTCCGGCTTCGTCCAACAAGAACTAGCTTTTGTTCCTTTTTAACCTCGGTTCACTTTTTGATCCCCTCTGTACATAAATGCCCTACCCCCGCCCCACCTACAGAGCTATGTAGACCGCTCGCTCTCTCTCTCACTTCATGCCCTTCCACGCATTCTACTGGCAGTTTTATGACTCAATCTGTTTTTTTCGCCAAGTTGCTCATTCGTAATGAATTTAGTTAGAATCATGCCGTCTCCTTTCTGCTGGGGTCCAGTGCTTAATCCTCTTCCTCTTGTCCCTTAATCGGGAGTTCAGATCACTCGACTACAATGTAGAGGTGCTCAACAGTGCACAGCGAGGTTACTTGGTGCCAGGCTTACCAATCATGTCTCGACGGTTCACTCCCTACCGCACCGGCACTCATGTCTGACTGATTAAAAGGATATTGTTGGGAGTCATTGACCACCTTAATAAACAAATCGAGATTTGAACAATGTCACGCGTTAGACACTCCAGTGCGAGGTTGTGGGTCGCGTAATCATGTCTTATTTAGTATGTAAAGAAAGAATTATCGGCAGGTTTCGTCTAAGTTCCTTCTCAATCCGCCCTGTAAGAAATTGTGGAGTTTATTAGATGTAGCACACACACACACGCACCAATTATAAACCACGTAGGATGCCTTGTATTCTTTAAGAGCTCAAATTTAGTTGAACGGATAACACTTGGTACCAAAAATCAATATTTCCAATTTGCATCTCAAACATAATGAACTGATCCAGTTTTTTTAACGGTTCATCATTCCCGACGAAAAATGGGTCGTTTAGGATTGCATCAATCGAAAACTATCATTGATGGGCCGGCACAAACCACGTCATCAGTAAGATAGGGCCACACTGGTTGTTGTGCGTTGTGAATTGCGTCAAAGGAACCAGCCAACAACTAACCAACGTCATCTTACTGAGGTTCATTCTTTGTTCTCGCAAAAAACCGAAAGTACTTTCTTGTCATGCTAACTGCTGCATCAGTCCAACAGTCACGTGGACGCATCTCGCACGAGTCCTCGGTCACGTGACTCAACCCAAGGAGGGTGGCTTGACAGAGAGCCCTCAACCAACCAATCGAATCGAACCTACCCCACCACCGTCTTATAAAGCAGTTTAACGCGAAGTTTATTTTAGGCCGGTTGGTGCTGTAGAAGTCAGAGTCAGGCATATTGAGGCCTACTCCCGCCCACGCGCGCTCTCTCTACTTCCTGGTATGATTTTTATCAAAGCAATGTGTTTTAGCGCTGGGCGTGTTGTCATTTTTCACCGACGTACAAGTGAATGTGTGTGCGCGCGTGTTTGTGAGCACGCAAGGTATGCTTATCACCTCGGATGAGGCAGCAGGTGAAGGCACAAAACACGCCGCACACTTCGGCAAAATTTGCCTGCCTTAACCCCTGACTGGATTGCCGTTGACGTTCCTTCTAAAGACATGCAACAACCAACTCAGTTTCACTTGTTTAGTCAACATTGAGATCTTGGTATTGAAGAAATGGGAATAGGGAAGACTATGTGACATCATGGAAGTGATCATTGAAACTGAGAAACTCATTCGAAGGCTTGGATTGACGGTTGCGATAGAGTGGGTAGTGCTCCTTACAATCTTCTAGGTGCCTTTCTTACACCTGGATGACGTGGTCAGGGTTTTTCGCAACCAACAGCCACCATCATCTTGAGGACACATTTTAGGAGCTCTAGCTCCAAACATGGAATCCAGATAGCTGCTGTATCACGGCCCGACATTCAAGCATGTTCTAGTCAAGCGACTCCTCAATGCTTGTCCCCAGTCGAATGGGCGAATCTGAGGTAGGTCGAAGTGGAATTTTACCCGAGTACCAGTCTGATGGGATTTCACCAGACAAACCTCGGTTTATGAGAAAATCGATGGCAAGGATTAACACACGGCTCAATTGCCAACGTGGCAAGTCCGTGTTCGAGTCCCGCCGCCGTTTTTACGTTCCCGACTTCTCGTTTACTTATCCTACCACCAAAAAACATTATGTTAAACCTGCGAAGAAACATAAGGAGAACAGCCTTGTGGGTGGCAAACATCGCGTAACTCAACATGCTGCGGCACCACGCGCATTTTCGTGAAATCTGCCGGCTTTACAGACACACGGTTGCTTCAAAAGTGCCAACAATGAACAGAGTTGGATTGCCTTTAAAAAAATGTTTTTTTTGTCTTTTGCTTTCGAGGTGAACTGCGGGTGTAGGGAGGGTATAGCTACTAGTACCTAAGGCGAGCATAAATCAATGTCCAGAGAAATCCTGCCAGCCAGGAATATCCTTCTCCAGCACACCCCAGATCCATCAACGACCGCTCGCAACAAGTTTAGTGGTCCCTTTCAGTGCACCCTCAGAGCGCACAAATGTTGGAAGATTGCAAAAATTCTTGCCAGATTTGAAACCAAATTGCCTACAACACATTTTCTTGAAAACTGGTATTTATTAATCACTTCTGTACTTTGAAGAAAACAAAACAGATGGAAATGTGACGGGGGAAGTTCGAGAGGATACGGTGGGTGCTGGTACCGAGTCTGTCGTTTCCAGTACCTGCTGAAAGACATCATTGTCTTAGTCAAATGTGATGCCGTTCCGATTGACCACATCTGTTCGTTGGATTGGTTGAATTGCCTACAGTATTTCGCCGCAGTTATTGTTCGATCAAGTGGAATAATCTCTTGCGAAATTATTCATCGCCGCACAAAAGAACATTTCCATTGAATGTGATGATTCTGACTTGACTAGAGATCCTTTTCTTTCACTTCCATATTTCCAACTCCTTTGCTTCATCGCTAGTTATGTCTTGATCCAAGAAATGTTTGTTTTGTTGACGAGCCAGGCGACAAATTGCTGTAGAACCATCATTTCACTTTATTCCAATCTGTCGTAACTTGCGAAACGTGAATACCGAGTTTCGAAGTGCCTCCAAGTCACCTTAGATGACAAAAAGCAGTAGAAATTGCACCATGTGGCCTCCCAGCAATAGCTTGAGCCGTAATCCGTGAAATATTGTTCTACGCGCACTCACTACCACTGGTGGTGATAAGTCGTGTGTGGATTGAAATCGACTGAAGCAAACTTGACTTGAATATCGTTTGTTGCAGTTTCATAGCTAATTCCAATGTAAACGCACACAATGGAACAGGACTAGAATGCATCACTTCATTTTCTATTTTGCACACAAGTTAATTTCACGGTTTTGATGACTCACGACGCATCTGGATAATTGTCAGTTAATAAAATTCCGAAAAAAACGAGAGCATGCTTCTGCCATGTACGAAAATCGTGCACGAACATTCGCAATCACTCGATAATGCGGCAGCATTGCTCATTTCGGCAGAACGCACATTTACGCGGTGCGTAGGAGTCCATCTCAAAGGCAACCTCACCGAAGTAAGACAATCGAGTCACGCTGTGCGTCGTTCTCACGTGCTCCAGCAGGTGTGTTGTAGTACCTGCTGAGCCGGTGAGGCAACATTAATTGGCAGGATGAGGTGCAGGCGGACATCGCAAGGGCCCTCCCCCTCCCCAACCCCCCTTACTCACACACACACGCACACAAACACGCACCCCTGTGCTCGAAGCGCATTCGCGCAGCCCCACAGTCATAGGGCTGAGAAGGGGTCCGGAAGGTGGGCCACAACTTCCCGCGGTGGTAATCAACACCGCGCTAAAGACATTTTCGCAAAAGCGTCCTCCTGTGACTCATCCGAGGTCAGGCCACTAAGACCGTTTCGGCAGCGTTCTTAACCAATCGGCTTGAGGAAGTTGCGTGTCTGGCTCTGCCACGCAAACTATTCCACTTTCAAACCGAGAAACGGCCAGGGGTGATCGCCATTCTCCTAACTGCTAACTAAAAACTTTCGCAGTAGATAATCGGAAATTAATCCAGTGGCATATAGGGTAAAAAGACAATTTTACCATCAACATTCAAAAATGACTTTATAAATATTAGATACATGACTTAATTTTGACTGATTTTTTCAGAAACATTGTTTAATTTAAAAAAGAAAGCAATGATCTTGGGAATATTTTCAATCGTTTACAATCACTTCGCACCATCTCTCAGATACCGTAAGAATGCCGTCGCGAATGATTCCTGCAGGCTTCGAGGTAAGCAAGACACCGACGAGATTACCCACATCTTCCAATATTTGCAACTGTTTATCCGCATTGACTCCAACAAATGGTAGTCGGAAGGCGGGTTAAGTCTTGTGACGATGCCGTGTGTGGCAGATCTTCCCATTCCAAATGCAAGAGGGTCTTCTGAGTCGCGCGAGAAGCGTAAAGTGGTCAAGCATTGCCATGCATCAGCAATATGACTTACCTGCTTCCTTCCTTCCTTTTTTTGATCTCTGGCCTCTTCGCTCAGTTTGTTCAATTGTTGGCTGTGGTGTTGAGCAGTCACGGTCATACGACCGGTTTCCAGGAGTTCGTAGTCAAGTACACCAATCATGTCACACAAGATACACGGATACAGATGGCTTCTTCAAGTGGATGTCCTGTTTCGGCGTCGATGTACCGGGTTGCATGGGATCCCCTCACGACACCATTTTGCGTTATGAATTCTCGTTACTGAAGATCCACTTTTCACCACCCGTCGAAATGTTCCACAAAGGAAGTCCATTCACTGCTTGTTGCCGGTGGGCAAGCAGTGAACATAAGGAACCCAACTTCCAAGTTATTGAATTTTTCACATTTGGTTGTGTACGTGTTTGGATGACTCCTAATTGAGCTACAAGCTCTTATTGCGTTGCCATTGAGTCTTCATGCGCCAGAACCGGCTATTCCGTATCTTCAAACTTTCGAGGCGGCTGTTTAGGGACACAGCTGGTCACCAAAATCGAAGTCGTCACTTCTGAAGCGTGTGTGCCGATAATTGCACATTTTACAGAACCCACAACGTCGGCACCGTGAACACTAAAAGTTGCTTTGCCCAGTGCTTTAGAAGCATTTTTCCTGGTCGAACGCCATCGA